TCACAAACACATAACCACAAACACAAAACCACAAACACACAACCACAAACACACAATCACAAACACAATCACAATCATCAACACGCAACTACAAACACAATCACAAACACACAATTACAAACACAACTACAAAGACACAATCACAAACACACAACCACAAGCATACACACAACACAACCACAAACACACACACACAAACACCCAAGCACAAACACACAACCACAAACACGCAACCACAAACACACAACCACAAACACACAAACACACAACCACAAACACACAACCACAAACACAACCACAAACACATCCACAAACACAACCACAAGTACAAACACACAATCACAAAGACACAACCACAACCACAACCACAGCTACAAACACATAATCACAAAGACACAACCACAACCACAACTACAAACACATAATCACAACCACTACCACTACCACAAACACAACCACAAACACATCCACAAACACACAACCACAAACACAACTACAAACACACAATCACAAAGACACAACCACAACCACAACTACAAACGCACAATCGCAAAGACACAACCGCAACCACAACCACAACCACAAACACACAATCACAACCACTACCACTACCACTACCACAACCACAAACACACAACCACAAACACAACCACAACACAGCACACAACCACAGCACACAACCCGAGGACCCACAAGCAACATCGAGAACTACAATACTAACGACTATGGCAACATGCTCCTCACTATGGCATCAAGACAAATGATTGAAATGTGATGGTGGGGATCACTCGAAGTAAAGTAATTGTTCTTTGCGTTTGGGTTTCACCTTGCTCTCCTATCGTTTCGATGTTCCAACTACGTGTTTTGCAAATGCTTCATCGCTCTCTTTGCTATCATCTCGTCTAATTTTCCTTTTTCATCTTCCATAATTAACTTTCTTGTGTGTAGCCGGCTCGTGTTGATTCCCTTTACGGTTATATCTTGGTGGGCTATGTGGTCTTCAATGGTCCCACAAGAGGTCTTTCACAGTGGAAGTTTCACCACCGTACTCAGCTAAGTCTCGCCAAGAGAACGTCCCAGTGAAGACCCAAAAAGCAACCACATATACAACCCTGCCGCCAGGCAAGCACCCACACGGGTCCAAAAGAAACCCCACACAGGTGCCCCAAAAACCCAACCGACGAAAAAACAAGATGGAACCCACGAAACCGAATGCAAACACGTACTCGGAAAAAAAACACTCAAACAATTTTTGACACGTGGGACACTCTTGTAGGACACATTCCTTTAGGAAACCTTTGCGCGACACTCTTGTGCACCCTTGCGGGGCACCTTGTATGACACTCACTCTTCTGGGGCACTCTTGCGGAACACTCTTGTAGGACACTCTTGTGGAGCATTCTTGTGGGACACTCTTGCAACTCTTGTGGGCACTCTTGCGGGACACTCTTACACTCTTGTAACTCTTGTAGGACTGTCTTGTGGGACACGGAACACTCTTGCGGAACACTCTTGTAAGACACTCTTGTGGGTCACTCTTTTGGGACACTCTTGTAGGACACTCTTGTGGAGCACTCTTGTAGGACACTCTTGTAGGACATTCTTGTGGGACACTCTTGCGGGACACTCTTGTGTGTCACTCTTGCGGGACACTCTCGTAGGACACTCTTGCGGACACTCTTGTGGGACACACTTGTAGGGCACTCTTGTGGGACACTCTAGTAGGACACTCTTGTCGGACACTCTTATGGAACAGTCTTGTGGGACACTCTTGTGGGACACTCTTGTGGGACACTCTTGTGGGACACTTTTGTGGGGCACTCTTGTAGGACACTCTTGCCGGACACTCTTGCCGGACACCCTTATGGAACACCCTTGTGGGACTCTATTGTGGGACACTGTCGGATAATGTTGTGGGACACTTCAAGTCTGCAAAGCGAGCGTTTCGTTCGAGACTTCCTCCAAATTAATGCTTCGTTTCGAACAAGACTTCCTCAAAAACTCACGTTTCGAGTCTGCAAGACGAGCGTTTCGTACGAGACTTCCTCCAAAAGTCACGTGTCCAGTCTCCAAACCGAGCGTTTCGTACGAAACTTCCTCCAAAAATCAGGCCGGAAGCCCCATCGGAGCACGCACATCAAGCAGCCCTGCCAAGCAGTTTCGCGACTCCAGCCCCTCCAAACAACGACCGCTCACACGCCAATCATCCCAATGTCACAGCGACATTCACCTCCACCACAACTCGCAACCTCACGATTCCCTGCGCCTGCCACGAACATTTACGTGTCCACACGTCTGACACGCACAAAGTACGGCCCCTGCCACGAAATGTCACCTCCGCCACACCTCGCAACCTCACTATTCCCTGCGCCTGCCACGAAAATCGCACTTCCATACCCCAAAGCCCGCACAAAGTACTGCGCCTGCCACTAATAGTGACAATATCATATCATGTGAGCTGCAACAAAGTTTGCACCACACCACACGCTTGGAATGATTTCGACACGTTCTGGGCACACTCCCATCCACCAAAATCACCATCTCAGCTGAGACTTGTCACGAAAACACAGCTTCGATGCAACACCCTGAAGCGCAAATCCCAATGTCACAGCCATATCCAACACCCCAAAAACACAACTCTCCAAGCGCCAGCCCCGATGTGAGATGTGACTACGCAGAAAACTGCGGATCTCACAAACCGCTGCACCTGCACAGTGAAATTATCCTCCACTGACACTTCAACAACTTACGTTTCCACACGATTCTTCGCTATTTCACACGAATCTGACACGTCACGCTTCCATGCAAAACCCTCTCCAAAAGCTTCCGCAATGGCAGCGCCTTAGCGCCCTACCGCGAACACTTGCGGTCGGTTGACAACGGTTGCGAACGCTGAGACAATGGGTCGCGAACAAGCCTCTACCCCCAAACCCCCAGAGTTAAACGAGAACCCTTCGCTACGCATTCGGGAAAACGACCCACACAGGTCAAAAAGCAACCCGACAGAGGTGTCCAACCACACATTTGAAACCCTGTACCTCAGAAACAGCTCTAAAAAAGACCCTTCCCAACCAAACGGTACTATTTGAAACCCTGTACCCCGGAAACAGATCCAAAAAATATCTGCCGGGTGCCAAAACAATCCAGTCCGATGTTTTTCCTGCTATGATAGCTATACAAGCTATTACAATTGTGTACTGGCGAGGGAATTGGTCACCAGTCTGGACACTTGACCTGCCGTCACAAAAACATACACTCTTCTGTGCGCCATGAAAGTCCAAAAATCAAGACTTCGGGCGCTTTTCAGATCACTTGTCTCACGCCTTTCTGGGACTCTAACTCGCCACTCACACTTTTGGGAGACACACACACACGAACATCCCCAAGCCGACCGACGGTGAAGGGGTCGAGCGTGACCCGCATTTGGTGGGAAAACATGAGTGTAGACTCTTGATTCATAAAACCCCCCATGAAAGAGGTTTTTCAATCCAAATGGGGTGAGTTTATGTATACCTCAAGAGTCTACCTGAAAACGATTAGGCCCCCACCGTGTAGTACTCGTTTCGTCAGACTCGTCACAGGCCGGCGCCTGCATCGACCGCGTGGGTGTCATCTTCAAAAGGATCGAAGGTTTCAACCTGTGCGGTGACGGCTGCTTTCGGCACCTGCATGGGTGGACCTGTCCCGTCGTCGAACCGGGCTGGATCTGCGTGGGTGGACCTTGCCGGTCAAAAGGGCTATAGACTGGAGGTCAAGGCAAGCCAGGCATATCTGGAGCTTCCATCTGGGCCACATGTCTGGCCGAAGGTCATCGATGAAGCCAGCCGAGGTGGGCGGAGATGTTGCATAGTTAGAAGATCCAGGGGTATATTCCAGTTGCAAGGAATATGGACTCCCGTGGTATCGGGACTATGTTTTTTGACCCCAAAGTCTATATACATAATATATCATGGATCTATCCTAATACCGGTAACAGTGGTTGATGATGATTGGTAAAATATAGTAAAGGCCTTGTTCCAAAAAAGACAATAATTACTTGTATTTGTTTACTGACAGGTAAGAAAACTGCTTGCCGGAAGGTATATACTTGCCTGGAAGAATGTTATTTCGCTTATATAGCTAACTCCTATCAGATTTGAACAACCATTGGATTTCATATTTTTTTTACTTTTAAACCAAACAACAATCATTTGTTTTACAAAGGACTTCACAGCTTTACAACCACGCTCCTTCATCCTTCCAAGTCCTATGGGTTTTTTTATTGAGGTCCTGGACTGTGAGAAGTGATGTCATTGAGGATGTATGAATGAATGAAGATGAGGGTGTCATTGATCATAAGTTATCAGTTATCAATGAGTTATAGGCTGCGCTTACTGTCGTCCCGACTGGGGAAACCCCCAAGTTCAGCTACCAGCTACCCAATGGCCTTGTCCATCAAAGGACCCAGTTCCCCGTCGTCTTCCTCTTCCTCTTCCTCCTCCGCTTCCACTGGCAGGTCCTTGGGAGATCCATGAATCAGGACACCATTTCGACACGACACCCCCCCTGATTGAAACGCGCAACTTCTGAGTAGTGCCTCACACAAAGAAAAAAGACAAATCAAATGCAACCAAACGAGTTTAACTTATTTGATAGCGTTTTGCTTATGCAACCAAACGAGTTTATCTTATTGATATCGTTTTGCTTTTCTGCTGAGGTTTCTCATGGTTGGAACCCAGAGGTTGGGCAGATGATCCACACACTTCCTGGGTAGGCTTCCCACCACGCCTGGACGTGGTCTCCTTCGAAGGAATCAAACGTTCTCCAGGAAGTCCTTAGTGTCCCGACCCCCCTCCAAGCCGGCCGCCCTCCCCCCCGACCGGCCCGGGCAAGAGCGAAGCAAACAGGTCTCCAGTTCTTCCGCACCTAAACGGGGTCTCTCCCGGTTCGCGCCGAAACCGCTGTGCGTTGAGAAACCCGTGGGTGAAGGGAATCATAGAAGAAGAGACGGAGGAGGTTGGGAGGTCGACCTTTCCTCAAAGGGGGTTTGGAGGTGTTCCACTGCCCCATGTGATTCGGCCGCTGAGTGTGTCACATGGGCAACTCGGCGTAAGGATCTTCCTGGCGCGGGGTGTGGCAGTGTCACCCGGAAAGCCTGAAACGGAGGATAAGTCGCTTAGAAAGGAATAAGAGCTATAAGGATATAAGGAATTTCTATTGCGGGCTTACTATGCACCGGTCAGACGGGATCTTCAAAAACAAAAGCCACTGACCCCGCCAACTTCTCCACTGAACATCGGCGCAAGCTCAGAAGCTCCCCCCCAACATCGGTGTTCGAGGACGCTCCTCGTCTGGTTCACCCTGCTCTGGCACTTGCCCATCCTGGCGGCAAACCGGGCTGGGGTCAGACCACGGAGACCTGAAAAAAAGCACAACTGTGTTCAAAACAGGTACAACATCCTTCAGACCCTAATTGCAATCCACCAATCAAATTCAAGCAGGACAGCTATAAATAAGCTCATCACCTCTATACTTCTAGGGCCGCCACGGATGGCACTTCGCTGTTGATCCTTTTTGCTTCACACGCTCCCGAAAACCCTCTGTCCACGACCCAAAAATCGAAAGGCATTTGACCACCTCTTGCAAAGGCAAGGCACGAATCCAACTACCTGAAGTCGACCCGGAACTCGTACCTCCAAAAAAGTCGTATACCGGCTTTTGCTTTAGGTCATACTCTATTTTCTAGGGTACGAACTGGAGGGTCCAACTACACTCCCCTGAGAAAAAAAACACACAACCATGGTTTTATATGGTTATAGCATAGAAGGCAGCGATTTCGGACTGACACCGAGTCATTCGACCCGGTGCCCGGTGCGCCGCGGTGCACCGTGCCCACCTTTGCATCGAGTACCGTGGCCGGCGCAGAGTGGCTGCTGTGTTTCCTCCAGGCCATCCTGCGCACCGCGAGCGCCGGGGTTGGCCCATTTTTGCTGAAAAGCAGCGCTGAAGAAAACACATCGAGAGGCCAGAGGACTGGCATAGTACACCTCCAGTCGTACCTCCTCAGAAGGTATGACTGGACCTGCCAAACCCACCCCAAACACCTTCTGAGAAGGTACGACTGGAGGCCTAGGGATGTATTAAAGGTGGTTTGAGGGGGGTCAATGTAGGCATATGTTCCGCACATTCGAGTGTCTAAGTTTGGGTCCGTCCTGATCTCAGAACTGAATTCCCCATTGGAGATCCCTGGAAAGAGATCGGTTGTTCTCCATTTCCCCGCAAAAAAGAAGTGTGGGCAAGTAATCCACGTACATCCTGGGTTCTTCCATCTCAGTTAGTTCGACTGGTGCAAAGTGTCTTCTATACAAATATGCTCAGACCAGAGGTGCCTGAGTCGGGCGGAAGAAAGAACATCCACTAGCATGAGGGACAAAGTTCCCAAGTTCCACCCAACCCTATCCCCAATGGCCAGCCACTCCATATATGGCATATTACCTACATTGGGGTGGTTGAGAAGGGGTGAATGGTCAATGTAAGTGTATACATGGAGTGGGAATGAGATCGATGGAACTCACTCTGTGGATTCAACTCATTGAACCCACTTCTGATCTATACTTGGAATCCAAATATATCGCCATTTGCTTACATGATCTTACACGTGTTCTCCATTCTGTGAGCTTCCCCTTGGGGTGTGAAAGCCCCTGTTGACTTTGCGACTTTAAGAACTCGAAACCACCCGAGTTCATGGCCACATCGGAGAACCGGTTGACGTGCTGGGATCCTCCGAACCCTCTCTGGTCTTTTGGACACTGCCAGGGTCCCACGCAGGGGAACAAGAACCCTATAACCAAACCTTCACCTGCTGAGGGTCCTTGATTCTTAGGGAATCAAGTACATCTACCAGGGCCCCCACCCGGGCCAGGGTTGTGTCCAAGAATAGCTCCTTTTGGAGCTTCATGGGTGTGAACCACCCGGGCCACCGGGAACCCCCCCTGGTAGATCCATTCATCAGTCCGACCTTCTCGCTCTTGGAAGGGTGCACACAAGAGCTCCACAAGGTACGTAGAGTGCGAAATAGAGCACCGAACGGATCTATGGAACATGTTGGTGTTTGGGATGTGTCAGGGGCTCCGAACGGCCCATCTCCTCAGGTTCGGTGGCTAGACCCCCCTGGCAAGCCGTCTTCTCAGGAGGTGGGCCAGGAGCCCTAGGGTAAGATGGTTTATAATTCCAACTGTCTTCGAAACACATGGTAACAGAATAGGATTCCAGGCCATTGTGCATAATAGGCTCCAACCTATTATGGCCATTTCAACCTAATTATGGTTGTCTGGGATATTGTTTATAATGGCCTGGTTTATCAGGAATAGGATTCCAGGCCATTGCACATCGAGACCACATGACAAACCTGGAACAGTGGTCTTGACCTCCATCTGAGCCATCTGTGCGTCTATTGAGCGCATCCCACTAAATATCTCGTCCACCATAAAGTCCACCACTCCCGCGGAACGGACATGGAAGCCATGTAAAATGAAGTATATTGAACAAATATGCAGAATTCCTGCCTCTTCCCTGCTATAGATATCCAAAAGACCCGAACCATCAAGGGCCGAAGCGTCCGTGCTGGACCGGTGGACGGACGCCGAAGCGTGGTCCATGTCGGTCCGGTGTTCTCGCAGCCTCTGCGCCTTGCCAACTTGGATAAAGGTGTTCACGACCTGTGGTGGAAAGTGGTGAAAGGCCATGGACTTTCTGAATCTTTTGGTCCGTCCAGTCGGTTGAGGTTTGACACTGTCGACGACGTCTGGGTTGAACAGGAACCGACATGTGGTTTAGGAAGAAGATGTAAGAATTCACTTCTAAAGCGAAAGGACTTATAGCCCCAGAACAAATAAATCTGGTCCTGAAAACCTCATTGATGTAGTGTCTTTACAACGTGAACCCGGTTTCGGTACAGGTCCTGAAACCTGTAGGCCTTTCGGGTCGAGTCGATGGGGGCCCTACCAGGTGTTCAGGACCGGAGAAAAACAGATGCAAACCATGGTGTCAACATGTGTCAACTGTTGGACACCCATATGGTTTACATTCGTTTATGGTGGAGATAGAGTGTCCAGACCTGGCGTTTTGACGGACATGCAATTTGGATAGAATATGTTCTTTTCTGCCTTCGCTCACTGCTTTAGCCACACATTGGTGTTGATGCTGCTGACATCAATCTACTGATGCAAAACAAGAATGGCCTGTGAAGCCTGTGCCTAGACCCAATTCTGCCACACTTGCAGTCCATCTTCTACACTGGTTGACAAACGAGCCCACTTCAGTATATGAGATAGCTGCTCTATTTGCTGTAAAGAATCAGCATGTTACCAAGCAGTAACAAGGCCAACATTCCTGTCAACTGGCACAAATTGCCTGGCATGTATTGTATAACAACTGTAATATATATATATATATTCATACATATTCCCCAAAAGGAGTTTGAACCATAGGGAACATCACAAATCACCTGATTCGCAAAACCAGGATGAGGTGTCAACTGTGGGACAACATATCGTTTACATGCGTTGACGGTGGATAGAGTGTACAAAACCTGGTGTTTGAGGAACATGCAGCAATACAATTTGTGGAGGGTCTTAGAATCTCTATACCTAAGACATCCGGGCATGTAAAAGCGTAGTTGTTTTGTGAAATTCAACAAAGTTATGTCCCTTGAATGTCCGTTGATGTTGTTTGTGAGTGGAGGGTATTATTACAATCTCTAGCTAGTTCTTTTCTGTCTTCGCTCACTGCTTTAGCCACACATTGATGTTGATGCTGCAGACATCTACTGACGCAAAACAAGAATGGCTGGTGCCTAGACCCAATTCTGCCACACTTGCAGTCCATCTTCCACACTGGTTGACAAACGAGCCCACTTCAGTACATGAGATAGCTGCTCTATTTGCTGCAAAGAATCAGCCTGTTTCCAAGCAGTCAGAAGGCCAACATTCCTGTCAAGAATCAAAGACCGAAGTCTCTGGTTGAAAGCATCCTTGTTCGGGATCTTCGCCAGAATGACATCGACATCTTGTTGGCGGCTTGCTTTCATGTCTTGCACTCTAAGGCCTTCTAGCATGTGCTGTCTTCGGAGCAGCGTGTCTTTATTCCTCACCAGGAGGATCTGAGTCATACCCATTCGATGAGCTTCGAACAGCTCAGCCATACACCAGGCTCGGCTGAAGAGTTCCAATGATGCATCGACAGCAACCACCTCTGCAAAAGACACATCTCTGCATGCTAGAAAAGACATCATGTCGTCGAACTTGTTCATTTCACAATGAATGCTCTCCCCATGCTGGTTCAAAGGTGGCGTGCTGTTGAAGAATTTGGGAGTCCCGCATGAACATACCGGATGTGGCAGCATCGTGACAGGATCAACATCTGCACGTGGGTTCGCTCCACATATCCCGGAGTGTTGGTTCACCGCAAAGGCACAAATCCAGTAGACATCCTCCAAGTTTCCTTGCACCTGGATCATTTGCTCCAAGGCATTGATGCCCACCTCATCGGACAGCAAAGCAGAAACTAGCTCAAAGGTGTGCTCCTCAAGGGCATCAGCAATGACACTCGCCAGCAAGTCTCGGAAAAGGTTGGACCAGTTGTGGGTCACCATCTTTTGGGGCATCTTAGGTTCACCTCTATTGACTAGCTGTGCATAGGAGCTCCCGTTTGCTGCAGTCATTGGGATAATCGCCTGTCGCACAACATCATTGGTAGTGTGCACATTTGGTCTGTAAGACAACATGACGTCCTTCCCCAATCTGCGATAAAATAACAGCAGTTCCTGCACAGATATACCGCGACCAGCCAGTTCCTGAGTGATTGCTTCCCATTCGCTTCCGACGATCTCTCTGGTCGGCCTCACCTGTCTCACCGGCCTCACCGATTTGAAGCAGGAACAGCTGTCTGTGGACGTGTGGTTTTCAGCAACTCGTCCCCAAAAACGATAGGCCCCCGACAGCAGAATCACACCAATTGTGTGGGTGACCAAGTTCACACATTGCGCCAGTTCCGTAAAGGTGTCAGCAACATCGACTATTCCCAGAAGGGCATTCACAAAGGAAAGAACCAAAGTGCAGGTGCTGGCTAAGCTAATCACCAAGCCAAGACCTTGCAGCAATGCCGCTCTGCGGCTGCGGCGCAAAGCCTTGCCGGACTCGAAAGAAACACCCTGCGCCATCTGCTGCGCAGCATGAAAGATGGTCAAGACACGGCACAAGGTGGCGAACACAAGAAGCATCCAAATGACAAAACAACATGGGATGAAAAGCGCGAATGCGGCAAGGGCAATGTACATAAGAATGCCCAATTTGCCACGTTGTATCGCATCAGGAATCAAGGCGAGAGTGCCCAGTGTGAGCAAAGCAAGTTCTGCCCAAAGAATTCTGTTCAGCCACACTCCACATCGAGGTTGGTTGAGTGCTGGCCAAATGCTTTGGAGACGGTTCTGGACCAATATCTGCAGCATCACAATTTCACAGACGTGCAAGACAACTTTGAGATCGAGCAAGAAATAGCCTGTCTCGATGTTTCCGCTAAAAAAGGCAATGATCCAGCTGGTGTAGGTTAACCCCTCGATCCAGTTGAGAACCAGAAAACCTGAAGCCTGAAGGAGGTGTGGCGTTGAGGCATGGCACCATACCCACATAGCTCCACAAGCTGCCACGGCTGTACAAGCCATCAGGATGAGGAAATCCATATCTGCATGATATCTCAAATAGTATGATATGTCACCCATGTCACCCCTAGCGCCAATGAGGAGGGTTCCCAAACTACTCAGCACGATGACGCACACAGCGCCGAGACATGTCCAGCATCTGTGCAGTGACGGGTCGAGTTTGAACTTCCAAAGACTTCCTTGAATTTGTTTGTTTGGGATTCGGAACCGGGAAAACACACATGTATAAACATAGTATTAAGTATATATATATTATAAGTATCTATGTTATCAAACATATATAAGTATAAATGAACAAAACCACCACCCTAAACACCACGCTTCGGACTTGGCAGGAACCCGACGTCTCAACCGTGTTCTCCGTCTCACTGTCAGTGGTGTTCTCCGTCTCCGATGTCTCCGATGTCTCCCGCCAGTCGTGCATGGCGGCGCAACGCAGCGAAGGCATTGAGAGACATCGAGCCAAACTGAAGGGTTCGATGTCTCGATCGTCTTCTTCACGATGCACATAGACAACCCCGGGGTTCCCCTGGTTTTTGCAGGGGGTGTCTATATGTCTAGATGCGATGTGGGTGGTGGATGGATGGTCTCTTCACCACGTAATTATATTGTGACGGTCACGACCGAGGCCGAGGGTAGCCAAGGAGGATCCGACTTCACCCAAACATGAAGCGACGACGTCCTACGAACGGGTCGACTCCAGGTATGAAGTCAGGTCTGTTGCACCAGATCTTCGAGTCAATCGTTGCTCTGTTGCACCGGCTCACTGGGTTCAAAGGCACATGGAGTCTATGGATTCAGGAACCTGGAAAACACTTCTAAACTAACTTAAACATATTCACCAAAGGGGGATTTGCCCATACCCAAACACTCCATGTATGGTATATATGCATGCCTACATTGAACCCAAATGTAGGCATATATAATCACAGCCGCCAGTCTTTTTCACGCGTTGCAGCCAGTTTGTCTGAAATCGAAAAGCTCGATGGAAACATACGATTGAAACAGTAACCTCTCGGGGCCCCGACACCCCTCGACTTCCGCCAAACCAGGAAGAAGGGGGTGCCCCCCAGTGCCCCTCATGGCCGCAGCCGCCAAACCGGCGCTCCATGAGCCCGAACACTTTGAGAGGGACTACCTTGGATAACCTCCATCTCCCAAAGGTAGCCTTTGAGGGTTCACACTCTCTTCTTCTACCCTCGAAACGTCGAAAAAGGACAGGTTTTTCGGGGCTTTCCACGTCCCCCTGGTCTGGGCGCCTTCCGGGGCCCAGGCTCAAGGATTGGGGCGCTAATCCGTCGTTCAGGTATATACGAGCCGTTTTCGCGGCTCCCCAACGTCCTTGGACGAGCAACCGATCGAAGCTACCGTGGCGCTGGAAGAAAAATGTTGCCCCCCCCTACGGAGGGAATAGGGTCGGTAGGCAAAGTCTTGGAGCTTCAGTCCGTCTACGGCGCGATTAAACAAATGGCGCCAGGCATGAGGTTTTATAGTGAGGAAATCATTAGGCTTGGCTAGACACTTCCAGCGATAAAGGCCCGGAATCACAGAAGACTCATGAATGGTCACGCTTTCAGCAGCCCCTTGTCGGGCTCCAGACTTGGCCATGCCCAGAGAAATGACCGCTGGACCTTTGGGTGTAGTCAGATAGATGTCCTTTGCGCGGAGACTTAAAAGTTCTCCGGTGCGCAACAGTCCAAAAAATGCTACGCGAAGCGAAAGGCCAAACTCAGGGCAGTCTTGCATCACGCTCCAACCACATAAAGCATTCAGCAGAGTGAGTGTCAGAGGTGGCGCACGGTTCGGGATTTCCGCCGAATTCCAAGCTTATTTCATCAGCCGCCAACTTCCCGGGAGCTTTTTCTTGAGACCAGGCTCATAGTCCTGGAGTGCTGCAAGCGCATTGTTAGCAACAGTCTTCCCTTCTCCTGAGGGGCACAGGAACTCTAGGTAGTCTGGCAGGCGAATGCCCTCCCTTGTCAACCAATCCAAAAACTGATG